AATCTTTAATCAGATTATTTAATCCGGACAAAAAGTATAGCAAATACAATTAAACCGTATGGATTCCAGTTTAATAAACTGTGGGTGGAGCAGTTAAACAAATTGCACGTATCAAATAGGTTGTGGGTTTACTGTGACCGCAGTTAACTTGCCTTATACGGCGCCCTCTGCTTGGCGCTAGGAACACGGATGTAGGCCAATCCGGATTGACAATAAATCTGATATATTGACATTTTTATTTGCTTTTAACTAGTGATCTGATCCGGCTTCACCTCTACTACTCTTCTGTGTGGACTTTCAAACTATTGCATGGATAACATATTATGCTAGCTGTTGTCGACGCAATATAAGGATAAAAAGGTACCCTATAATTTGCCGATCAATGTCAGCTACCCTTCAGTGAAAGTCCGGATGAATTCACTCTAGTCGTTTCGGAGATTACCCAAAACAAACGCGGCTTGCGGACAGACACACAGACAAAATTTTTTTAAATGCAATTTTCGTTATCATCACCTTCACGAAATCGGGATTTTTTTCTTTTGATATTACAGACACTCCAATTTATTATATTTATAGATTGCTAGTTATTGTGATACGAAACAAATCACTAGCTATGACCTCGCACTAAATGAATGGCTTCTACAGCCTCCTATGCCTACGCTTCACTGGCGACACTTGAGATATCTAAAACTTGTTGTAAGGAATCGCTTCCGCTGGTTACACCAGTCGTGAAGGTTACACATTGTCTTGGGCTCGTGGGCTAACATTTGAATTTACAATACAACCTTTGTTAGGCTTTGCAAAAAATGCGGAAATATGTATATTAATTGAATACTGGATTTGGTATATAACCTCAATATAAGTGTCAAATCAAACTAATATAAATGGGATAGTTTAAATGGAGGGATGTTTGTTTGCTAAACGGATGATCGATTAAATTTGGCATAGACGTAAAGGATAGCCTGGAAGAACACATAGGCGGGAATAGCCTATTTTATTTATTTTTTAATCTAACACGGACGGAGTCGCGGGCGAAAGCTAGTAATTAACATTTTACATGTTAAAATTATTCGCTTTGTGAAAAGAATCTCGCTTGCCTAGTTTTCACAGGTTTACTAAGTAAATGTTGCAAATATCAAGTCATTGTTTAGATAGCCACTTAAAAAAAAAAAGAAAACGTTGTCCATTTTTTATAGTATCATTTTACTCTACAGCTTTTTAACATTGACAACACATGCAATCTTCCAAATATGTATCGATTTTGAAACCGATATTAAATCGAGTTTTAAAGCATCGATTCCGTTTACTTGAAGTGTCAATAAAGTGAAAGGAATATTGTGCACTGAGGTGTTATAAATATGTCACACTGATGTGGGCGGGAGCACTTGCCACCAGTTTGCCACCCACCACATGTGGTCAACCCATTATTTACTTTGTTGTCAATTTTACAATTTGCCGTATATTTTCTTTTTAAATGATGACAATTGTACCAAATATTATCATCGCTGCTGTTTCCAATAAGAATAAAAGAGATGTCAAGATTTTTTAATTATAATTAAAAAAGTCTTTATGATTCGTAAATATTCTGATAAGGAAAACAATTTCTGTCACCTTATAAGGTACTTACACAGAGATTTTATGCTAAGGACAGAGAGGTACTTCAAATAAGGTATCTGCACTCCTAAATAAGCAATTTAATTACAGTGAAATGCTATACACATTTATGCAACTTGCAGTAATTGTTATTTTAAATTACTCATGTCAGGCATAAAGTGCAAACTTTGTAATGTTTCGGCGATGGACACTAACAAATAGAAAACATTTAGACAACTTAAAAACCTTATTATAGTTTGTCTAAATAATTTAGATTAGTTTGACAATTCATTTCAAATTTAGTAGGGATGGGTTGTGTAAAATCAGTCATGAATCTTATCGATTTTCGATTTTTATTCTTATGGAAGTTGGAATCGATAGATTTATAGTTATGAAATAAAACTTATGAAATAAAAAAAACACTGTTTTCTCAAATTAATAGTGACCATAACAAATAATGAGAGTAAATAAATGTGTATTACTACTACAGCCGTACGTAATCGAATTGGATTTTGCTATTATTTCTGTCATCGCTAAATTCTCTACACTGTAATCAATACTAGAATTGTCCTCTAAATTAGTTAATAAGAAAATAATAATGTTAGTTAAGTTCGATAAATTTTATTTAAACCGAATATCGATTCAATAATGTTCGCTATGCGTGTTGTTTCATCACTACGATACCTGTCTATTAAGGCATTTGCCTTCATACAAATTGAATTCGATACTTCATATGCGTCATTTATCAAACTAATCTATCTTATTTAGACACACTATAGTGCCTACTTCCACATCTAGATTAAAGATGTTTCCACCATTTGCATAACGCAGTGTGGGTTGTACACGTCCAAGGCAAACGACATACATAGACGTGGTGCTGAGAACTAGAATGCCCTTACACAGCTGCACTGACTCACCAGTCATCGACCTTACGCTTGGGAATCAAATCTCACATTTTATTTCCTTAGTTACAATGTATAACGAAAAAAAACAAGATATCTTAAGATATTTACTTAAACAGACTATATCGGATTATGTGTCACTAGCTGTTGCTTGCGACTTTGTCCGCAAAGAGCAAAAAAAGTAAAAAAAATAGTCTATGTTACTCGGGACACAGCTTTTTAACAGTAATAGAATTTGTGCAATCGGCCCAGTAGTTTTTTTTTTAATTTATATGTTAGAGTTTGTAGTCTAAACTGCCAATCTTGTTAAAATTGGGCATAGACGTAGAGGATAGTCTGGAAGAACACATATGCTACTGTTAAGTAGAAAATCAGTATCGTACCATAGCAGCAGTGCAACACTGAATCACGGACATTTACGTCATGCTCCTTTGACAGATGTCATTATTAACAAAAGAGTTCGAACGCAGAAGCGCGCCTTTTTCGTTCCGTGTGCGGTTACAATTATTACTTAAAACTACCTACTTTTGCTTTTTTTATTTCACGCGATGTCGGGAGCAAAAGTTAGTTACTTAATAAGAAAAGTATATTGCATACAAGTAATGTGAGTCATAGAATAACACTTGTATAAACATATAAAAACCTTGTTAAATATCCTTACTGGAAGGAACTCACAGTAGACGCTGTTTTTCCTTCCTTATTCTTTTTAAGGCGACATTTAAATTTATGTCTTACTTATGTACTTGACAATAACTTAGTTTTATGACAGAAACAAATGAAATAATACCAGCTGTCGCTCGCGACTTCGTCCGCGCGCAATTAAAAAAAAGCACAAAAAACATAGCTGTTGTTACTTACTGATAACATAGCTTTTAATGATGCAAGAACATTTGAAATCGGGTCGGTGGTTTTTGATTTATTTTAAAACATAGAAAAATACATAAAAAATCTTTCCTCATTATAATATTCATATAGATAATCACTTTTTTAACATACTCGATCTGATTTATGACGTCAGCTGTTTCCAGTAAGGACTATTATTCAATAACAATAGTAAACAAGTCAGTTGATGTGTATAGTGTATAAATATACGGTTGTTGGTACAAAACCTAAGAATCAATATAAAGCGGTTCATTGTTTTGCGAACCTGTCCACGCTGAATCAGAAGGCCGCAAGTGTGATGTAACGAAGGTTGCAGCCCACATGACTAAGCCGTTAACATAACAGAAGTGATTAAATATTCACTATTAGAGCGTGCACACACTTGAAACTAAACTATCGCACGACTGTTTAGTCTTGCTTTGTTATGAGCTTATATGGTGCACACGATACTCGATTTTTAGTTATGCAATTAAAATTAAAATGACTGTGAAAAAATCGACATTAGCACAACTCCTGTGTGAGTTTTTAGTCAAAGGTGTGCGTCCGGACTTAGTCTGTAGTCAGTAATCATGAAAAGTATATTTTTTTGAATGTGGGTTGACGACCTTAAGTTTACAAAGGTTATTAGGTAATATTTGTTTAATCATAGTCATACTAATATTATAAATGCCAAAGTTCAGATGGTTGGATGGATGGATGGATGTTTGTTAGAGTTTGTAGTCTAAACGGCTAAACATATTTCGATGAAGTGTGGTACAGATGTAGAGGATAGTCTGGAAGACCACATAGGCTACTCACTTTTGTTTTTTTTTTAATCCACGCGGACGAAGTCGCGGGCGAAAGCTAGTGTTAAATAATTATATATTTATTATAGATATAAGACTCATAAACGAGACGAGTTATACTAAAAAAAAAAATTCTTTTCTACCTCTAAACTTAAGTAAACTTTATAGGTATATGCTATGTAACTTTGCAATATTGAATAATGTAATTTGTAAGCTACCAGTACTGGATTTCTATTTTTTTTTAATTTAAATGGATACCTTGTGATCTGAAAGGGTTAGCCAACCATTCCTTATGCCGATAGGTTCAACTTCCTCCAAGGATATCGAGGATACACTGCCAGGACTCCTCCTAATCCCTCTTTGCCACCAGTTCACTTGATCCATAGATTTATGAAAGTAACGTACTTCCATTGGATCTATATTATTTTGACACCAGTTTTAGAACACTATAGTTAAACTTCGGTACAGATTTTAACGATATTAAGTATTTTTAAGCTTTTAACATCGTACTTCGATAACTTTCTAATGGTCAATGAATATATTTGCGTGCTTTACCCTTGGTTTATTGTTTGGTTGGTGGTTGCTTAGAGACGATGCAAGCGGAGGTCAATGTCACGTCAACTTGACCTCTACAAGCGAGGTAACTTGACCCGCTGACTAACACTTCCTCATTAGATTATCGTCTTGTTAATTAAGATGTAACGTTATTTACAACTTTAAGTTTATTGGATAAGGTTTAATTCATGATTAGTTTGAAACAGTAGAGTTTTGTTACTGTATTTCCGATAGACATTTAAATAAATCCTTTATAGTTAAAATTTCTTGTTCTTAATTAATAAGATATACAGTAGTGACTGTCAACTAGTCAATGTTTATAAATGAGTTTTTGTTGGATGTCAACTGTAATAGTTACCAAGATCCTTGACCTGGTAGTGTTGCCAGAGATTGGAGATTTTTTTTGACTATTCAGCGACATTTTTCGTACTAAATTTTAGCTGCAAATACGAAGACTCGCTACATAAGAGTTAAATAAATCTAATCTACTAATATTATAAAGAGGAAAGATTTTTATTTTTATATGTATTGGAATTACTTAAAAACTACTGGGCCAATATCATTTTTTTTTTACCATTAAAAAATAAGTTTAAAGTTTTAAGTTTCATTGAGTAATATAGGTTACTTTTTTTTATTAGGTATAAGTTCTACGCTGGCGAAGTTGTCAGCAACAACCAGTGTAAAAAATACTTTGATATCGCTAAAAATAAAAATACAAGATACATTGAGACGACGCATCACGCAAAGTAAACAATGTATGAGGTATTAGGACAGGTGCAGAAAATTCATAGTGCGTGACGCGTGACCATTGCTACTGGGGGACAAGTGACCGGATGTGGGGAGGTTCAGTGGACTATCTAAGGACAACTCCGCTTTGTAGATCTTTAGAATTGTATATATACATTAATACGATTAGTTAAAAGCATATAGTATACTTTAAAGTCTAAATAGTTTATTGCTATCTATACTATTATAATAAAGCGTAAACACACACTTCTTTGTTGCCTAAGATGTCAGCAATTACAGTATATTTTTGAATAATCCTTTTTTAATAAAAAGCCCTACATTTACGTCAACTTTAGGCTATATATTTTCACGCTATTAAACTTACTCGGTAAACAAATTGGATAAAAATTCTAATGTGGGAAAGAGACCATGATGCTACCAACATCAAGGAAGCAAGAATGCCATGGATTCCCATAATGTCATGCCATTTTGACGTTTGCAATTGATAAATTGACAAATGTTAACGATAAAATGAAGTTTTTATAATTACCTGCGGATGAAGCCGCACGGGAACAGCTAGTTGTTTATAAAGACTTTTGTATTCTAAATGATATAATACATTTCGCAACGCAGGAGTGTTAAATATACAAGAGAGCCCGTGGGAAATTAACGGAATAGTGCAAACTGTGCACATTGTGTGTTTTGCTATCAAAATGCTTCCAAGCAATTTATAACGAAGTTATATGACTAGAATTTAGATTTAATATTTATGAATTAATGTTAGAGATTGCTATAACATAAATGTTTTATTTATAATTCTGTGAATTATGAAAGGTAACTTATATTATTTATTCTGTTATGAAGTCTAATGAGTTTTTATAAACATACTTTTGTTAGATAGATCTTTGGTTATTATCTATGTTTACAGTAAGTGTCACGATAGTTAGCTGACTAATGCTGGGTTTCTGAAGTTTCCGTTTATTTTATCATTACCTAGTTATTAGTGTTAGGTTTACTTGTATTTTAACGGAGTAAAACTCAAATTACGTGGTTCCCAAACGCATTTAATGAAATTATCGAACCAAATAATGTAACGAATAGTTAAAAGTAGCTGGGAAACCGGCGATTAATGTGTTTGAATTATCATCATTCATTCATCGAATGGTAGATTCAAAGATGGCTTAAAGTCAGCTAGTCCATTGCAACTTTCACTGCAGACAAAGTCAAAGTTGTCTGGACCCAATTCAATATTTGCCTTACTGTTGACAACGCAATTAACCCGTTTAATGCGTCGCGTTGACTCACCAGTCATCCTCGCTTTCTAACTTTCGTCGGTTTATCAATCTTGGAAGATTTAAGAATACATTTTGTCCGCGACACTGTTTGCG